ACATCTTAGATGCAACAGTAAACCATCATTGTACAATGAAGTAAATAAAGTATTAAAAGTTTAACCGAGTAGTGAGGGTAGCAATGTTTAAACGCCTAATCGCACACATCCCTAGTAGAAACTTGAAGGCTCCAGTGCAGATCCACTGAGACTGGACTTTACAGTGACGTAGAAGACATCTTGTGTCCTGCAGGAAAACTTTAGAAATGAAAAAGTTGCCTAATCCTATATTCTGACATTTTTATTGAGGTAGAAGGAGTAGATGCCTTTTTAAGGACTTTGTGGAATGTGTGTAAAACAATGTTTTTTTTAGACACCTTATTGTTCCAAGCAGACTGTTATATAAATGTCTTAATAACAATCTGGAGGGGATCTTTAAATCTTGGACCATATTTTCTATTTAAAATAAATCGGTTGTGTTCAGAGACAGAATTTAGCGTGTTTTGACAAAACAAACAAAAATTGTAGATTTGAAAAGACCATAGAAAAGGTTTACCACCACCTCCATCACACAGCCTCAGGACTGAACATAATTTGTACATTCTTTGTTTGTGTATATTCAGCTTGCTTGATGTGTATGTGTGTGTTAGTAGTGGTGTCAGACGTGTGTTTGTGGCTCTGCAGTGGTGTGGATCAGGAACAAAAGGGTGTGGTCTAAACAGCTCATTGATTATAGTTGTGTTTAACGACTGCAGTTGTTGTAAATTGAAATGATGGCTGTTGGCTGGAGCTGATGTAGTACTGGAAAATGAGAGTGTGTGGGAGAGATATATTAGGAGGAATGTATGTATTCATTTACTATATTAAACTTAATGGTCACAGTTTGTGTATTACTTGTTATAAATATAATTTTTGGTGCATTTGTTTTTGAATGTGTGTTTATTCATACTTTTACAGTAGCGTATGTGCGTAGGTTTTATTTTTTTTCTTTCCGAGGTAGTGTATGTGTGTACATCCATAATAAGTCTTTATATTGTCAGGGGGTAATGATGTAAATTGCTGCATTGGAAGCCTGAATGCAAAGCCAGGCTCTTTTCTCCCTGATGCCTGTATTAATGCTGCGTCCCTCTGGACCAAAATCAGCTTTTCTGCAGGTTTTTCAGTGTCAGGCCATTTTACCTGCTGCACAAATGCTGGTAAACCTCTTAAGCCCATTCTGCCCCATTTCTTTCTCTCTTCCCCTCCCAACTAGTCTCAGAGGATTCACCAAAGACAAAGACACAGCCTTTCCGGGCTATTAAGGCCATTTAAAGGTATCCCCATGTTGCACATGCTTGAAATATATTGCTGTCAAATGTATTGTGATGCCTGTGATCAGGTTTTTTTTATTTATGTACTTTATAGTCCTTGTTAGCTACAGTGCTGCTCAGGGATTTTACTGATTTTAAAATGGATCTTTGGCTTCGGCAGTCCACCTGTCGTGAGGATCAGATGATGTTACATGCTAATTAGCACATCGGTGGCCTCAGCTGTATCACTTTCACGTTGTCTTAAAGTTTCATAAAGGAAAATGCATGACTTTGAGTCTTTTTCCAAAGCCAATTAAAATGAGATATATATGCGTCTATTCGCCTCCTAATGTAAAAATGGAAATGAATAAAATAGTCCAGGTGTGCCAGACTGGGTTGATTTCTTATGAAACAGCTCACTGAGAAACATTTAAAGACATCTGAAGTGAAATTGCAGTCTTATTATTAGGAAAGTATTAGGTCCTGAACTTAGTTTTCACACTTAGACAAAGACTTGACATTGACAGCCAAATAAACAAAGTGTTACAACTGATGTCCTCATCTACTGTAATATGAAAGCTGCTGCACAGTGTATTCACCTTTTCACAATGAATGAATGTACATCATTATATATATTTTTTTTATTGACTGCTAATGTAGCAAGAAAACATTAATATTGTTTTTATATTAATGTTGTTAATATTGTGTTATTTGTGTTTTTCAGTGAAATATTTCTCAAATAGAAATGATACTTTTGTTGAAAACCCACTGGAATAAAATGACAGAAGTTCTGCACTTTAATCACTGTCAAAGTAGCAGTGGCAGATCAGGAGACGTCCACAAAAACTAAGTTGTCATATTGGTTGATCTTGGAAGATACAGGCAGGTTTTGTTGCTTAGGTTCTCAGAGCTTGTACACATGATTGTTGCACCTTGAATATTAATCACCAGAACACGCAGCCTATTTCAACCCATATTTATGTTTATTGTTGATTAGCAACCTCTGGGGATCGTAGTATTTATGATGGGAGCTGTAAGAGCGAGAAAGTCCACATATGGAAGTGACTGAGGGGGTCAATGGGTCACACATTGTTCATGACTTAGGTTGCGTGACTTACGCAACCTATTACCGGTCCGACACACTGCTTGTTGCTTGCACTCTCCAACGGTCATTACTGCAACACAGCCTTGGACAGTTTTACTTTGGTAATTTAACAACACACTCCAGATTCTTAGTTTTAAAAGTAAGTCTGCAGCATTGACACATGCCAATGCTCAAAAAACGCATTCATTTTGATACATTTTCTGTGGTATTACTATTCTGTACCATGCTTCTGTCAAATGATGTAACGCTACGTGTCATGGTCACTGTGTGTTACACTCAACGAAAACAACCAACTCGACTTACTGGCAGGTGGTAGGACTTGCTAAGTCTTTGACATTAACTCAGTCCTCTAGCTTCTGACCAATGAATATGGCTGCCGGTTGCTTTTATTGAAACATGCAATACAGTTGGAAGTACCATTTTTAGGAACTGAAGTTGGGTCCCTGGAGTGGTGCCAAAGATTAGATGTGGCATCAGTACAACCCAATATTTAGTCATTATTTTGTGTTTCTCTTCATTTTTGTATCTTGGTCCACTTCAGGCTGTGGTCTTCAGTTTGACCATTATACTGCCCAGCTTAGCTGTGTCCTAGAAGTACCTTGTTGTGCTGTGTGCATCCATCTCAGAATGCACATCTTCCCCCAACTGTCTAGAAAAACGACATCAGGGGACTGTGAGCTATCCAACAGAAAACTCTGCTCTGTTTTGTTCCTACAGGGCAGAAAAGTGAATGGAAAATCAATTATGTCTGTAATAAATAATCCTCTTAACATGAGGGAGTTTAAATATGGACAACAATGGCTTTTCAAGAGGTTTTCATAGCTGAGGGCCAAAAAGGTGCATCTCTCATACTCACACAAAAACAAGTGCACAGATACAGTAAACACACTGTAATGAAGACAGATTGCAGAGTTATATTTTGAAGGATGAGATAAGGTGAACGGTTTTTATAGTGATGTGTGAGCAATATGTGTGTGTGTGTGCTGATGAAACAAGTGGAAATATGTTTTTTTTTTTTTTTTTTTTTTACTTTAATGGCGCAACATACAGTGTAATGTGTATAATTTGTTATAAAGAAAAACATTTTGTTCATGCTTTTTGGGCTCCATGTTCCTTTCATAGATATATATATATAAAAATACATATTTTGCTATTTGGCCTGGCTTTACAGATACTTCAGGCTAGTCAATGACCTCTTTGGGAACTACAAGTATGTCTGTGGAGTGAAGTTTATGGAAAGCCGAGTTTATATAATTTTTCAATACTTTGAGGTACAGAAACACTATTACATTCACCTTTGTTGTGTGGAGACCAGAAACTGTTTGCATGACTAAATACCGCTAGGATAAATTGGCAAAAATGTGTTTCTTCATTGTAGTTTGGGCAAATTGACCCATTATAATAATCTGAACATGTCTGAGTCAACATGTATCCGATCTGTGGCGCAGGACAGTAGAGAGCCACACACTATGCCAGCATCCCAGCACAGAAAAAGTGATGATGGATGGTGCGGTCAGTGGATTTAGTGGTGCTGTAGCATCCAGCAGGTTTGTCGGAGTTCAATTGAACAAAGTGCTGCAGAGAGCACAAAAGGCCAGAAGCCTTTTTCTCACAGGCTAATCTCATAATAACCTACAGACCATATGGGTGGTTGCTCGTATTGTGTTCTCATTGTGTGTGTGTGTATGTGTGTGTGTGTGTGTGTGTCAGACAAGGAGATAGAGAACATGTGAGAATGTATTTGGCAGAAATAAAATTGTTGGCCTTATGTAAGAGGTCTGAACATTGGCCTAAGGTAAGAAAGATGTTCACCCACGGTTATTGCATCAGTTTCACATGATGCTCTATAGCACATGTTGGGGGGCAAGGTTACACAAGGGCATGCTGAGTTTTGTGGGATGCATTGCCAGAGTGTTTTGTTTGCTTTATGCAAACCAATATCAATACTACAGATATAGAATACTACTGTATCTTTCACGACATGTCATTATTCATTTCAAAACAACTCATCACCTACCTCTGGGCTGATCTGTTTTAATTGTCTTTTACCAGCATAACCTTCTGCTTCTCTGTGTTACATAATTGTGTACATACACTCAAAAGTAGTGCTGATACAATTCGTCATTTATTCTATACATCAGGCATTAAAAACAACTTAATTTAGGTCTGACTGAAGTAGAGTTTTGTTTGTCTTTGTGTAGGTGTCATTTTATGTAATTATGATGTGTGATTTTGGTTCTGTATTTAAATCATAAAAATTAAAGGAAGAAAGAATAGAGCACTGGCACACAGTCATGCATACACACAAAAGATAATCAATACATTGAATTAAATTAAAACTGCATTTGAAATGTGAGGATTGGCTTGGTATAGATTGGTATATTTTATATGCAGAAATTAAATAAGCTGAGTTATAAATTAGAAATCCACATTTTAACTCTTTGTTAACAGATTAAAATGTAGGACAGTTTTACCACTGTGTTTATGAACATTACCGATCCACAAAATATTCATAACCCTGTTTTAGATTATGTGGTTCTTCTTATTTTATTTGATAGTTTTTTCACATCTGGACCCCAGATTTTTAACTTTGCAGTATGTGTATGTATTGGTTGCAGTATGTGTTAACTGTTTATCTTTTCTTCTCTGGTCATTGCCCTTTTCAGATTGCTTTCTCTCAACACAACAGCATCATGGACCTGGTGCAGTTCTTTGTCACCTTCTTCAGGTAAGTTTTTTCCTGACTGTCATATTTACTGTACGCGCTGTGCCTTTCTGAAGAGCATCCAGCTGCTCCTCACAGGGCTTTGCTGCTCAGTGGTTCAGTTCCCAGAGGCTCTTTGCACAACTAGGCCATAACCTGCACTCATTGAGTTACAGTAGATGGCAGCAGCCTTAGGCAAGACACCTAAACCCCAACTGCTCTGGCGATCTTCTGCATCTGCTCAACAGCAGCGAGCTGAATTGTGAAACTCTGAGGTGTTGGGTCAGTGAAAAATTAGTTAACCAAACTATGATTTGTTGATTTGCAGGTCGAAATGAGTCAAGGTGTAAGCTATTTAGATGTCTAGGTTGCATACTGAATAACCTTTGCTCTAACCACTGATTTCACCATCTACTTAGGACCTACTTCAGTCTGAAATATAGTCAGCAATGGTAAAATAAAAAAATACTTTTCAACCACATTTAGTCCCCCTAGATGTCCTTTGACCTGCAAATCACAAAATGAGTGAGCTGTGAACAGCCAATGCATGTTCCGTATTCATAACTTCCCTTTTTCCTACCTTTTCACTTACTTGAATCAAACATACACCAATCTCATCTCACTAAACTGTAAATGTCTAATCTAATTATCCCATAAGAATGTACATGGTTTTTTTTCACCAATATTTGCTACCTCTAGATATTTTAACAGACATAAAGCCACCATGCAATAGCTGGAGTTCTTGGTTGAGTTCTGAGATCAGTCAGGAGCTGATTTGCCACACAGGCATACTCTAGTATAGTTAGTTAGTTAGTTAGCTTAGTACATGGCAGTGGATGTATTCTTTTTTTTGTTTGTGGTGTGGTAACAAAATTATTAGCAACAGATATCTCAAGAGCAAATGAGAAATGAAATCTGGAACTGACTAGATACCACTGGCACTAAGTACGGATCTTTTGTGATTGGGCTGACCTGGATCCTGACCTGCTTGGTGGCCAAAATCAGACTGAGCACGACATCCTGTTTTCCTCCTCTGTTGTTTAATACTATCTGTGCTTAACAAGGTTTAAGGTAAATAGAAATACTTAAATACTAGCAATTATTCCAAGCTCCACCATAATTTCCACACACAATCCATTAAAAACCAAACAGCCAGACAAAGCAGTGAGTTCTTGTGGGTTTTTTTGGACTGTGTGAGAGACGTTTATGTTACAGCTTGTCATGCAGACTGACAGCGGATATAATGAGAGAGTGTTTTGGGGGAAAAAGTCTGGAATGAAGTCTGCTGTCTTCAGGCAAGATTCTGCCACTCAGCTACGACACCGGACAAGTGTGTGTTTATCTGCCTGTGTGTGTGTGTGTGTGTGTGTGTGTGTGTGTGTGTGTGTGTGTGTGTGTGTGTGTGTGTGTGTGTGTGTGTGTGTGTGTGTGTGTGTGTGTGTGTGTGTGTGTGTGTGGTCATCTGGGCGCGTGTGTATGTGCACGTTGTTTCCTGTATATGTACATATGTGTCACTGTGTGCTCATGCTCGCTTGTGCTTGTGTCACTGTGCAACCATGTGAGGAAGGGAGCCATTTTTGTGCCTACGGCCGGCTTCTGGACATCAGCGACCTTTAGGCCAGCATAGAGGGATGATGTCATCAGTAGGGGACAGCGTCAAGTTTTGCCGGGAGAGTTCAGTGTTGCCTGTGTGTTTTGTTTTTGTGTGTGTGTGTGTGTGTGTGTGTGTGTGTGTGTGTGTGTGTGTGTGTGTGTGTGTGTGTGTGTGTGTGTGTGTGTGTGTGTGTGTGTGTGTGTGTGTGTGTGTGTGTGTGTGTGTGTTAGTCACTGGTCTATTTATGAGTTGCTCTCTTCTGCACTGCACCAGACTCTCAGTGAGAAAAGGTTATGTGCTATAACTACAGGACTTTTTTTTGTAGCTGTTGTTGGTTTATTTACTGCCCTTGTTATGTAATGTAATGTTCATGTTTTTTCTCTGCTGGAAAGGTATTCAGGTCCTTTACTTATATAATAGTAGCATCACCACGATGGAAAAAGGCTCAATTAAAAGAAAATTGTTTTCAATTTCAAAACATACATCATGGATATTTTTGATATTGACACAAAGTCAAATGAATCTGTGTGATAAACTGTTTTAACTCAACATTTTGGCTGTACAGCACATGTACTGTATGGTTCAGTCTCACCTTACTGTATAAACCCTAGTTCCAGCAGCGGCAGACAGCTGTTTTTAGCAGCATAGTCTGATAAAGCCAGTGCACGTTATCGAATGTAAAATGAATCAAAGTGTCAGGATATTAATGTATTAAAGCCTAGAGCCCAGTTCCGACCAAAGATTCACATTGAGACAAAACAGTTGCAGGGAAAAGTTGCAGCGGTGTGAACTGGCCCGCCTCAACTCGACTCAAGCTGGCTGAGCTAGAACGTCACCTGTTTCAACAGCCAATCGGGTTGTTGCAAAGTCAGCTGATCAAGTCAGTTACAAACTGTCAGCTGATTGAAATGGCAGAGTTTTGGATGGAGGAAGGAGAGGATCACTGATACAAGCTGGCTCCGAATTCTCAACCCTCTCATTTAATCGAGTTCATCGTTTCATCAATAAACTGTAAAAAGTAACTCACTGTCACTATCCTCGTTTTAGATTGTAGGATGCTACAAATTATAACCAGCTACAATAAAAGCCTGAAAAGCCGGCAGTTAGACGATACACTGTCTTGTCTTGTCTAGTAGCATTGGCGTGAGGTTTTCAGAATGTTGCATACCAGTGAAATGAAGTAGTTGCAAGTTTTAATTTGTCTTGTTGGGAGTCTTTGTAATCTTTTGAACTGGGCTCAAGAGGCAGTTATACCTAGCGTAAACCTAATTACTTCATATACGGATGTCTAGTTTAAACACACATCACAAGCACCAATTTGTATAAGAAAACCCTACCATTACAGAGCAACTGCTGATATGAGCTAATGACAGCTCTTACATAAACAGTTGTGCAAAAACTCTAACTGCCATAGAAAAGTAACTCAGGGCTGCACTATATGAAATACACTTTTCAGTATTTTTGTCCATGCATATATAGGTTGTGTGCATGTCAGGGATGCAGGCTTATCAGCTCATATGCTTGTGTCTGGGTCTACACTATGTACGTATGTGTGGGTATGTGCATTTCTGTTGGCTCCACTGTGCTGATGTGGTCAGGAGCCAGAGTGCCAAAGAGCCTGAGTCATGACTCCCATTTTGTGTGTGTGTGTGTGTGTGTGTGTGTGTGTGTGTGTGTGTGTGTGTGTGTGTGTGTGTGTGTGTGTGTGTGTGTGTGTGTGTGTGTGTGTGTGTGTGTGTGTGTGTGTGTGTGTGTGTGTGTGTAAGTGTGTGTGTGTGTAAATGTGTGTGCGTGTGCATGTGAGGGGGGTAGCCTGTAGGCAGAAGGCACAGTGATGAGATGCAGTCTGGCACTGGGAAGGAAGAGAAGAGGGAAGATATGCAGCTCATATAGAAAGAAGTGAATTGATTGAAAGGAGAGATTGGAGATCTATCTGTGTTGTCTTATCGACTGATGTATCTGTCTGTCATCAAGCAGAAACGTTGAAGGAAATATAACCTGGCTTGGATCAACATAACCTTTACACTGGATGCATAACTGCAAACTGTTCACTGCTAAAGCTGTCAATGTATTTCATTTGTTACCCACTGCAGCGTCAGTAACATTTTTTATAGGTCGTAGATTTTAGCAAATCAGAGAGATTCTGGCTTAGCAATTCATTTAGTAACCCAGCAATTACCTTTCCACCTGAATCTATTTGACAAAAAAACATAAAAACATATTCTGTAAGAGATAAGTTTGCTTCCATTGATCCCTGAACAATTGTGTGGCTCCATTAAGAGTAAATCAGATCCAAAAAATGTGAAGTAGAATGGAAGCTGGCAGGGCCAATATAAGGACAGATGGGGAAAAATACAAAGTGTCAAATGTTGCAGAATCAAACAGGAAGGTCAGCTAACAGCATACTTTCATTGCTACCATTGTCATTGTCTGTGTTGTTGTACAATGGAATTATTTAAAGTGTTACAATGCCATGCATTGGACAAGCTCGGCCTATATTAGATGTTTTATTAAAAATAGGCCCAGCTGCTTCAGGTTTCTACTTCCTGTGTCTCCCTGATTAGCTGTGAGATCTTCTTCTTTTGAAAAGTTTAAAACTCTCCTCCTTCTGTCTCCTCCCCCCTCCATCCATCCTCCTCATGTATTCTTTCTCATCTCTAAGAACTGGAGAAAAAAGGAAAATGGCCATAATTAAACAGCATTTATGTCTCCGCTCTCCACAGTCTCAAATGCTAATTGGTGACACTGCAGTTCAGCTTTGTCCAATTACTCCCAGCTCTCGCTCGCTTGATTAGCAATCAGTTTCTCTCTCTCCCTTTCTCTCTCTCTTTCCCAAAACAGAGGAGAAGCTACTCTGCACTAAGTGGCTCATGAGACTCGCCCACTTCATTTCAAAATGACCGTTCCTATCAACGTTCACTTCCACCAGGATTCTCTGTGGACGTGTCTCTCTGCATATTTGTTCTTTTCTGGTTTTGGAATTGCTTTATTTGTTTAAACATGTACAAAAGGAAACCCCATAGGCACTCACACATAGAGGAGCAGGAGTGAGACACTTTTCAAGCCTTTTTTTCTTCAAGAGCAGTATATGTATCTTGATTGCATTAGGACTTGGAACCACTTGAGCGCACAACTGTTTAACTGTTTGGTTTGGTTTATTTACAGTATACACCCCCCCCGAAAAGTTGGTCTGGGGATAGTTTTAGTTTGACCGGTGTGACTGTAAGGCGAAGTTGCTTTGTAAAAGTTTGGTTTTGCTGTGATGTTATCCTGTGAAGATATGAGGACTAGAATAATTCTACAAGGGACAAAAGTTGCTTTGACTGACAATGTGAAAGGGATTCAGTCATGTTTTTTTTTTTTTTTTTTAGGGAGCAGCAGCAAGAGTTTATTAGGATGTTTAGATATGTAAAGTAGCCATCTGGTTCACAGGCAAACTTTAGTTCACTTTATTCACATGTTTCTCATTTGGTGAAATGAAAAATGCAAAGGTAAAAAAGTAGAAAGATCTAGTTAGGGAAAGACAGAGATCCTCGCGGCGAACAAATAACAGTTTAGATGTTGAAAACATTACAGGAAGAGATCCCACAGCCTCTCTCTCAGGACTGGAGGCCTGTCTCTACCCTTAGAGTCAGTTTGCTGCTTGTGCAGATGGAAAGCTGTTTCCGATTGTGTGCTATCTGTGGCTCATGTTCAACGAATAGCTTATTGATTTTTCTCTCTGCCCGCTGGGGATCAGATGTTTCACTGTGTTCTCCTGTGTGTGCGTGTGTGTGTGTGTGTGTGTGTGTGTGTGTGTGTGTGTGCGTGTGTGTGTGTGTGCGTGCGCATTATATGTACTGTGCTCTTGGGTTTTGTTTGTTTAAACCGCACTACTTGAAATAACAAGAATACACACACACTCATGTACACACTCTCACATAGACCCCAACCTGTTCTTACCCACACTAATCAGTTCGATTGCTATTACCTGTGGCTGGACAGTCTTAAACCTAAACCTATCAAGATGCTCGGTGGAGTGTTAACAAACCCACAGGACAGCCTGCCCTCCCCTCCCCCTCCTCCCCCTTCTTCTTTCTCCCTTCCCCCTAATGCCTTGGTAATAGCGACAATTAGCCGCTCCACTCCATTGGTTAGATAGCTAAGCTTGGGCCCTGTGGCCCATTAATGGCGAGCTGAGGTAATACAGACGGAATGGTGAATCTTGGGCCTGATTGGATCTGAATCCAAGCCAGTGGAGGGTTTTTAGAAGATACATTTGGAGGATAGAAAATCATTGCAACGGAGTTACTGAGTGTATTTGTCTTTGCTGTAATCTGGTGTCTAGCCCAGTGTGCTCATGATCATGCAAATGGGTTACTAGCTCAAGCAAGTGGAGTAATTTATTTTGTTTTGAAAATAATATATTAATAAATAATATTATATATAACAATTTGAGAAACAAGTAAACAGTGAAATTAAGATTGGGTCAGGTAACAAGAATTGACATCGTGCCTTATATTCTCATTATAATCCTGATTGGAATTTCAATCAGTTGCAGAGGGGTAGTTTAAACCTTTTTGAAAACCGATCGAAAGAAAAATTGTAAACGTTTTAACTGGATTACTTTCTGGCTGCGTTCTTTCTGCACACACCCTTGGTTTGGATGTAAATGCCTGGGGAGGTACAGTTCTCTGCTTCAAATAGAAAATGGCAGCTTCGAATCCAAACTGGACCTCTCTGGAGAGTTTGCTTGTTGATACAAACTCTTAAAGAACTGAACATTATTGGATGCTTAGACAGTAGGAAGAATATAACCTATTCAAACATGTTGAAGGCCAGAACACACCCAAGCGTTGAAAGAATTAAAAACAGCTGGAAAACCTTGAAGACCGCCTGTTACAAAGCTCCCAAAACAACAAAAGTGGACCCCACTGACTTCCCACTTTATGAAAGCATGGACAAATCCATCACACAGCTGTTCTGATTAATCTGTTAGCACACGTAAACACCAGATTGTATTAGACACATCCCATGTGAACTGCTGACCCAAAATCAATTTCATGTAACCACAGCTATTGTTTGTCTGCCCTGCAAGTCCTCCAAATTAAACAACAGAACACGTTGTTTGTCCATGTCCCTCTAGAATATCGGAATGGAAGGGTTTTCTGAGCTGATGTCTCTTTTGGCAGGACGACAACATTTCCCTGTTCCTTCTAAAACCAATGACAAATCACTGTTTAAAAATAAATCCAAAACTACTAATTTAGATTTAGGGAAAGCTCATGGTTTGATTTTAAAGAAACATGAATTGGATTAAAATGACTACATTATTATGGTTAGTCATGGTAAAGCTCATACAGGGTTGAATCATCTCTGTAAAGTGTCAGGACACGTTCAAGTCTATTGGATGAAAACTTTTCATATCATCTCATAAAAGTCATCAGTTGTGATCTTGAAACCGGAAGGTTTTCATCCAGCAGCATCACTGTGCATCTTGCCTCCATCACCGGAGGGGATTTCCTGCTTGTTTGACTGCAGCTGAGAGGTCGGCTGTAGACTGAAGAGGCCATGAGTGCAGCCTCTTCAGCAGACTGGGTCTGAAAATGTCACGCTCATTACAGCACTAATACCCTTTACAATGCTGTCATCCTCACATAGAGAAACAGGAGGACACATCACACATGCACTCTCACTGACACACACACACAGATAGATGAAGAGGAGGATTGTTTCGGAGCTGCTGTCCTCAGCAGTTTCTCAGGGACTTCCTGTTGTTAAGTCTTTGGGTGCGCTTGTCTTGAGTTCTTGTCAGAAGTGCTGGTTGAGAGAGGAGCTTTGTGTTTGGCCAGATAACTTTGCCCTCCAGACACTGAACTTTGAGGGAGAATGTGTATGCGCGTGCATGTGTGTGTGTGTGTGTGTGGGTGCATGAGACCTTGTTCTTTGTTAGAGAGCATCATGGTGCTCGTTGACCTCTCGCTGCCCTTTGCTGTCCTAAAATCCCCAGCTGCCTGTGGTCACCGCGGTTTTGTTGCTCGCCACAGATTTCCCAAGAACTTCTCTCTCCTTTGGCGCCTTTGCTCTCTGAAAAGTGGAGCTTGAGGGCAGTAAATTAGTGTGAAGATCTGCTCTATGGTTGTATTGTGGTTTTGTGCCTTTTTTTCATTTTCCTTTGGAAGTGTTTTTTGAGGACAACTACAAAGACCACTACAAGCATGAAGCACATTGTTATTTAAATTATGTTATCTGCAGATACTGGACTACTGGAGTTATATAATCTGGAGAAACAACCCAATAATTGCTTAATGGTTTAGAGATGTACGGAAACATATTTTCAAAATGCCACTGTAAGCATGAAAACGTAACATTAGATTTTATGTTTTTCTTGCATTTTCCTTGTGTCCTTGTTTCTTGTCAGCAGTAGCTTCTTCTGATAGTTGTTATGACTTTTTTATGGACTGTGACTTGTATAAGTGCACCTACAACATGTTATTAAATGTAAAATTTCCACTCAGATGAAGTATGAAGCAGCATAGCCTTTTTAACTTATGCCCCCTTAACAGGTTGAATATTTTCCAGTCCACTTATTTTCCAGTATTTTATAAGAAAACAGAGAATCCCAAAGTTCAGTTTGTGTAGCAGAAATATGTTTCAGGTATTTTCCCTCATCTCTTGACCCTTTAGATTGACATGACTGATAACAGGAGTACAGCTACAATTTTTGTGTTGAGGTGTGTGTATACACTCACCCCTAAGTAGGTATTTAAGTATCCCACACTCAGGCAGCTTTATATTTAAACTACTGAGCTGTATTTACTGTATTCATCACTAAGTACCTCCCATGAGTCAACACAGGTTTCTTTGGAGGTGATTTATTGGCAACTTACAACTCATTCCGGCTCAGATTTGGACTCTTGCTTCCTGCCCTTTGTCCACTGAGGCTAAAAGTACAGGAGAAAAAGTACTTTAAAGGTCCAGTGTGTAACATTTAGTAGGCTGTACTGGCAGAAATGGAATATAATATTCATAGGTATGTTTTCATTTGTGTATAATCACTGTCGTTTCATATACACACTTCAAAGCCTGTTCTCATTCCCAGGTTGTTAAATATAGACACAAGGGCATGTGATAAGACGATAGGGTATACGTTAGCTATGGCCAACCATAATAACCCTAACTCCCACTGACTCGATGTGTATTTTCTGCATGCTTTTGTTCATGCACTACTCAGGAATCATTGATATCTGATTAACTGACTCATTCTGTGTCCCTCTCCTCTCTCCAGCTGTTTCCTGTCTCTGTTACTGGTCGCTGCTGTGGTTTGGAAAGTCAAGCAGACCTGCTGGGCCTCACGACGCAGAGAGGTAGGACGCCTTGTGTATGTGTGTATGTATAACACGTATTCTCACGTGTGTCAGTGTGTTGCAGTATGTGTGTAGCGAACAGCATATGCATACATTTGTTGACAGTACATGTTGTGAAGCTGTGTGTGTGTGCTTCACTCTGCCACACATAAGCCGTTAGATGCAGCTGCCACATCGAAGACTAAAGTAAATACACACTGACGCACCCCCCCACCCACATTTGTGAAGGGTGGGTTAATGTCACCAGTCCTGAAAGTATAAAAAAAGATCTCTCCGCTTAACGAGCGTCGCCGTGACAATAAACAAAGCCATCCCCCCTAATTAGTGCTCCTCATGAACCAATTAACTCAGACGAAGTGATGCTAAACGAAGTGGAATGGAGTGATATATCACTTAAAGCGTCAACAGATGCCGCATCAGTTCATATTTACTCCTGACCCCTCCCATACACACACACTCACACACACACAAACACAATTTACACCCAAAATCAATTCACCAGCTCCACTGTTGGACTTGTTTTGGATCTATCCTCTTTGCAGTAATAACCCATGCTCTCTTTCTCACTTGTTTAATGTTTTTATGCATTTTTTTTTTCAGTGTTTTGTGTTTGAGTCATCAGGGAGGATTCAGTGTTGCTTATGAACAGCGATGATAATAGTCTGTTTTTATTGGTGTAATCCACACACGTTCCACAGGGAACTATTGTTTTTAAATACACTTGTTGGTTTCTGGTCCTCCTCTGCTGCTGCTGCTGTTCTGTCATTATGGAGAAAGCGCTGCTGCTTTCATGTGCAAATTAAATTTCAGTATTTAAATGTTGGTGACATGTTATGTTACTTTTATGGTCTCTCGAAAAGAATCGGCTTCAATTAGGAGGATTTGTCATCTGCTTAAGTGGTGTAAACTAAACCCTGCACTCAGTGAGAGAAGTTGATGTAAATTTTTTGTCACTGACTTGTTTTCACTGCTTGATATGTATAAATAAAAATACAAAATCAAGGAAATAGTCCACAAGTAGTTATACTGTAAAGGTAGAGCTGACATGTCCACATTGCAGATCAAGCAGATTGCTGCAGACTGACTTTTATCTGGATTGTAGGTTCCCACACATCCAAAAGTTTGCATTTTTATTGCTAAACTACCAGGTGTTGAAAGTACAAATTAAGATTCTTAAATTTAGCTACAACAAATTTGTTTTTATTACTGATTTTAACAGATTTTCTGTTTTTTATCAATCAAAATAGAGATACAACTACAGTTTTGCCTTGAAAACCAAAAACACTAAACTAAGACTTGGTCTACACCAACTAGAACACTGGGAGCTGCTCTAATCAATATTTTTATATTGACTGTGGATGGATGTGTAAAGTGAAAATGGTTGCTCATAGTGATGAGCCCACAAAGAATTTTCTGTACTGCAATTCCCCTCAGCACTACGGACTGTTTAAGCATCTTTCGGTTTACAAATAAATATATTGCAATATATTCCATTTCTGGTAGCAAGACAAGATATATATATATATTGCAGTCTTGTTTAAATGTAAATTTGGTAATTTTTTTTTCATACAGTCAGAACATTCGGATCTTCATTTGTATTTATCACAGTCCAAGTATCATCCAACATCATAGCACTGCTTTTGCGAGTGCTGGAGTAAAAGAGTCAAGGGTCAATCAAATCTTGAAAACACAAATTTACACACATTTACTTCCACAAATCTTTTCATGAAAGCCATAAATTAAAAATCTATAGTGTTTATGAGAATTGATACAGTATCACAAGACACAATATCGGAAAACTCAAGTGTATCAGTATTTTCTTACACCCCTAGGTTTTACGGCCAACAACTTTAAAGTTATTTTTCAGTCTCACAGTACTCATCAACATCATTTTCAGCTGCAGCAGGCAGCTTTTTTTCTGTGGGAAAGTTATATAGCGCACTACCTGCTATACTGATGCAAACAAAACAGTTTAAAGAAAATGAAATAATGAGCCTCATATAAAGGTCATAAACGCATGAATCAAATTGATTCTCATGTTTACATCCCTATTTGTACAACTGTGTGTTGTTACATGCAGGGTGTGCATGGTATGGTTTTACAGTGGAGTGACTGATACCTGCACTGTGATGTGTGTTTAGCCACCTGTGACCTGACTAGCAGCGTGTTTGTTTAGCCTTGTTTTCCCCAGTGTGAGGAGCAGTGTACCGGCTGCTGCCAGGTCGGCCAACACTGGGCTACATTATTTATGAGAGCCAGTCTCATATCACAGCAGAACCGCAATGCTGCATTTACTGCACTGTTGGTTTATTTACCCGGACTTCCTACTATTTCTCTGGCTTTCTGTCTTTCTCTCTGTCAGTCTCTCCCTTGTTCATCCTGAGGGCTGTTTCTTTTTTTTTTTACTATCTCCCTTTAGATAACAGAGGATCTAATAAATGGAAACCTCTGCCTTCGAGGGAGAAATCATCACTGTAGGAACTCTGGCGATTAAACTTCACTTTCTTCCCATCATCATCCACAGTTAATGTCCTATTTGAAATGAAATCAGTTACTTTTTTCAGCACATAATTAATTCATCTAGAATGGCACAAAGGAAGCAAATGGAATGCCCTCAAAGTGTGATCTTTCACTTTAGCGCAGCTCAAGCAGCAACTGAATAAAGAAAAAAGAGAAAACATTTAATAGATTTTACTGAGTAATGGTACTCTGCCAAGCTTAGAGGGTGAGCATGACATTTCAAAAATGTACTTAGTTCATTTTCTTCACCACTCAGTTTTTGCATTACAGGGAACTCTTTCTGGATTTGTCCTTTTAGCTACCCTAAAAATGTCATCACTGATTCCAACTGCTGTAAGCAAGTGTGCCACAATGCAAACTATGTTAACGAGCCAAGTGTCAGCAGAGAAGCCCTTTAACTAAAACATGAACACTGCCTGTTGCAGGCAACACACAGACAAATGTTCAAAATGTCACATTTTTCCTTTAACAAGGTCTGATGTCATTGTGTCTTCTTTTAATATTTATATTCAGACAACCTTTGCTCGTGGCAGCGAGGGAATTAAAAACAGTTTTATTTATTTAAATATTTATATATTCTGTTTGTGGAACAAGATGATAAAAAGGTGGAAACTATGAAAGAGGCACAAGGAGGAGGAGAGGAGGAAAGAGAGAGTAGAGCTTATAGATATGGTTTAGAGTTGCCTCAAAAAAATCTTCAAACGTGTATCCTTTAGAAGATGTTTAGTTTTTAGGGTGCTTGTCTGTAACTGTCACTACAATTCATGCTTGTGTAACTTTTCTAGATGAAGGTGTTAAGATGGACAGACTGAAAATGAAATGTCGGTGTCCACCTAAACATCCGAAAAACAACAGCATGGCCTTGTGTTCTAATGCTTAAAACAAAATGTGTTTTTCTGATCTGAAGTGATGTCTTGTGATCATAAAAGCAATGCATGTTCTCTATATAGCAGAGGTGGAAGTATTGTGGGTATTATGGCATCCTTCTACTACTGCAAAAACGAACGCCACTTGCATTTTACACGTCGCACTGAACTCAGGGGTCAGTCAGTCTCTACTGAAATCTTGTTTGGTGACCTTTCTATGAGCAACCAATGAGATGACAGCTGTCTGACTAAAGACCATTTTCTTAGTTTCAGTTCTTATAATTGTATGAAACCACGGGTTGGGAAGAAGTCAACAGTGGCATTGTCCTGCTATATGGGGCACACTATTGATGAAAGCCTAAGCTGCACCTTGCCTTTGCACTGTGCTGGATACCCCACCACCCCACCTTATAGTGAGCAAGGTGGGTTAGTAAATGGTACATGTATTGTACTTAAATAGTGCCTTTCTAGTCACCCATTCACCCCATTCACACACTGATGGCAGAGGCTGCTGTGCCGACTGCTCAGCAGAAACAGAAACCAATCCAATTTAATGTAGGTATATAGCTGAAGGACACTTTGACATGCAGCAACCAGGTATCGAAAACACCAACCTTCTGATTGGTGGATGACTAACTCTACCCCCTGAGCAACAGCTGCTCACAGCTGGCTGTATGGTTGTATATTAAAACTGGGTGACTTCGACATAAATGACAGATCCGATCTCATACTAACCAGTAAACATTGGTTCAGACCTTAACCAAAACTTAATCAAATGTTAACCATAGAGGTGGCAGATCAGAAAACGAAAATAATGACTTCTTCTTGTCCTTTTCTTAAAAACTATTTTAAAATGGTTTCTATTGAGGGTTGTTTGCCTTTAGAATATAAAGCAAATGAAGCTTATAGTTTACTCTTTTTATGACTGTTATATTTACGATAGAAGATATACAGTGAGAGAGTCAGACACATACAGAGATAAAGAGCCTTTTATTTTCTTGCTTCATTGCTTGAAACTTTGTCACCGGTCTCAGTGAGCTCTGCAGACTCTCGCCTCTTCAGCGGGCCCCAGCCTCACTTACCCTGCACCACCGAGCGAGAAATTAACAATGCTAATCAATGGAGCTGAATGCTGTGTTTTTATCATCTCCTTGTTTTGATGTATTTAGTGCTGGGCTAATCATTATGGAGATAAACTGCAGTTGTCAGGTGCCTCAGGGGCACGAAGGAGAGATGGTCAATATGGCTAGATTTACCTAATATATATTGTTATTGTAATATACAGGAGCAGTTATTACTGATCAGCTTGTGTTTGAGACTTCTTTAAATGAGGGTTGTGTGCAGCTTCTTCTCTTATTGCAAATAGAGCGGCACAATGTTTTGTATTTTTACCACTATTGTAACAAGATTTGCTAAATGAATTGCAAAAGAATGTGATGTCAAATCTTTCTGTTGTTGAATATTTTATAGCATTTAAAAATGTTTTAAATTCAAATATAGGTAATACGTAATCTGTCTTTCTGCCTTCTGTAAAATGGAAATGATCCATTAACCGTTAAAACCACAAAAGAATGTATGACTTTATTGATTGTATTTTTGGAGTTTGTTTCAATG